ATGCCACAGTAGTTTATATCGTTCAATGGTCAGACAGAAGATAACATTCTGGACATAGCTTACGATGCGTAGAGCAGATTTCTTGTGATTTATTTATTTATTTATTTATTTATTTTTTTGATTCTTTTGATTGTATGTCTACCATTTTATCAAATAACGGCTTATTGGATATCACGAGAACTTATATCTTCGATATAAGTTGGATAACTGATTGAAAATCGGGAACAAGCACTTATAGAGTAATAAAATCGATTCTTAATTCGCAATCTAGTCCGATCAGAGCTTTATATTTTAAATATATAAGAAATATATAAGAAAAGAATGATGAAAGAAATATCGAGAAATAAATAGTATAACATGTATTTTATTTCTTTTCTTTTTTTTTTCTTTGGTGATGCATAAAGAATAATTTTATTCTATTATATTTATATTTAGATAATTAATTTATGTATATATGCAGTTATTTCATAAATTTATTCAACTTTTACTGCATATTTTAATGAACAAACATGGATAAAATATTCCATGATACAATATCGTTTATAGGACACCACAATTGATATATTTCGCGACACAATATCGCTCGTACAATGCCACAATGCCAGTCGAGATATTTCGTGACGCAATATTATTCGTATGATGTCACGGACGAGATATCTTGTTTTTTTTTTACATTTTATATATCATTGTTAGCCTTCGATAGACAACATTCAGATTCATGAGATATACCTCATTCATAAGAAACAAAAATAATTTTCTATGCGTTATCTTACAAAATTCATCTGTCTTAAAAAAATCTGATTTTTAATGAAAATTTATCTGAATATAGATCACAAAGAATTGCATATAAAGAATATCTCTTCGCATAAAATCAATCCTCAAATTTTTACAGCAAATTGATAAAGACAGATTAAATATAATTTTTTCTCTGTCTCACACGAAATTATATTTCAAGAAACGAAAGTAATATCAATATTTCGAAGAATATGTCTTACTTATAACGTCTCGCATGATGAAACTATTGCTCTCTTCGACGACACAACTTATTAATTGAACTTTCGTAAGATGTATATATATATATATATTTGACCATATACATGATTACATGAAACAATTAAGAAAGAAGCACGATCTTTTATTAAACCGATCTTCTTCTTTCACCGCTACAATTAAGAAAATAGAGCATCGAAAAATAATAGAGCATTGAAAAAGGGAGAAAGGGAATAAGAGATCGAGATGAAAGAACGATCAACGGTTTGAACCGTTTTGGATTCCTCGAGGAAGCCTCGCGGATAAAATCCCGAGAATCAAAGGCTTCCCTCCCCCAATCGCGTGTAAAAGTGGTGGGACCGTTTTGGACGTTGGTCGGTAAAGGGAGCTGGAAAAGAGAGAAAGAAAAAAAAAAAAAAATTGCTAAATCCTATCTGAATCAGTGGTCCATTGAACGGTGGTTTGATATCGAGCAAGGATATCTCCAGGAGTTCTTTTGAAAAGGAACCCAACTGCTTCGACTATGGCGGTGGTATCTATAGCTACGATACGAGGGGAGGGAAAGGAAAAGCGGAACAAGAAGAAGGCTTATTCCAACAATACATCCTTCGACGTATCGCAAGGGTATGCCGACTGATAGACAGCTCCTGTCTACCAGATATCCAAGCAAAACCTACATCCAACCCCCTACTGTTGTACGTATCGGTCAGCCCCCTCGTCGTCTCGAGTCTTCAGCGAGTCACGAATAGATGGAAGAACGGCATATCAGAGGGAAACAAGAGCCCTTCTGGGGATCGTCGAGATTTTCCATCGTATTGGGAGAAGAACACGGTGTACAGTGGCGAGGTTCATTTACACCTTTTCGCTGTGTACATGATCATTCTGGAAAAGTTGGTATTTTAAGATGTACTTAAAAGATGTAATTTTCATCCGAAATTATTCTTGATTTTTAACCAACTATTTTTTAACTTTAACAATAAAAATAATAATAATTGTTATATAACAGAAATCACGAATAGAAAAAAGAATTTTCCCTATAATATTCCTTTCCACCCCATTGCACGTATGCGCGTATGTATTTTTTTAATGTTAAGCTGAATAAGAAAAAAAAAAAAATCCTCTCGAAATCGAATATTTCCACACAGAAAGCGGACACCCTCGAAAGCCAAATTCTAAGCTATGCTATTTGAAACGGGGTATAAGAGGTCTTTTTTATATTCCTATCGCAAAATCGCGATTGTACATTTATCGTGTTTCCCGCCCCTTTAGACCGGCTGGTCTGGCTTCCACTCACGTCCCTGATCGGTGCACTCAACTCGAAAGAGAGAGGGATCGATTTATATACGAAAGACTCCAGCGATCACTTACCGGCCGTATCGTAACGGGACACCCTGTAGAATGGAGCATAGGCGGCGGACAGCGCGTTTTGCGGTGACAGAGCGTGTCTGATGGAGGGTTGTCACGGTATGGGAGCACCACCCCTCAGACTTCGATATTAAAGCCCTCCTAATATAAGAGCAAAAGCTCCGCTCTCCGCCGCCGATATGCCTGTTTCAAACCTTTTCCCTTTCCCTCGAAAATTTCCAGTAAGCGATACTGACTAAGCGTAAGCCAGACCGGACTGGTTCTGGATTTCTCGGCTAAGCGAGTGGGCGTGCAAAAGGGTGGATCGTGAACGAACGGGATGGATAGATTTATTTACAGTACTCTCTCGGTTTGGCAAATATAATAAAGAGTGAGTAAATGAATTTGTAAAATTGTATAATTGTTCATTTGCTACGATTATAAATTAATGCAATTTTAATATCGAATATCATGTATTTATATTTTATTTTAGCAAGAGAGAGTAAATATCTTTGAAGTAAAATATGAAATAATTTTGATTAAATTTGATATATATTATATATTATTACTATATTATTTCTAATATATAAAAGTAAAATTAAATTAAAATAAATAAATCTCATTTTGACTTTTATATCTTTCAAAAATATTCAATGAATATATTAACATTTTATATGGAAAGATGTTGGAAAATTAAAAATTATTGATTTAAATATAGAGAAGAATATAAAAGAATTTTTATGTTACAAGAATGTTCGGATTTTTTATAAATTTAAAATGAAAAACTATTTATACGCAATATTTTAAAGAATTTTTAAACGTATTGAAAGTTATTTTTCAATGAGAAAAACTTATTTATTTATTTCCTCTATTAATTTTTCTAAATAATAGTTTTATTTTAATAAAATACGGAAAAATAGGGTTATTTCGCTCAAGGTTGATATAAAATGATACAAAATTATACGAAATTAAAAAATAAATTAATTAGATATTTAATTATAAACTGGGATATTAATAATCCACTCTATTTATTTATATTTATTTATAGTTATTTGAAAAATATCCTATACCATGAATATCAGAATATTAAAAATATGGGATATTTTTTAAATTACCATTCCCCAAACACGATTTTATAAGTTTTCTTTAACATGCTCGTTATTGGTTTACCAATATTATTCATATTTCAACATATAGACATAACCTATACGTTTATAAAAAAAATTTATCATCTTAACCCAAATAATATAAATTATAAATGTATCTTTTTTCGCGAACAATTCTACTCGAATTAAAATCCCTCTATATTATAACTATCAATTATAATTACAAATAATTATAATTAAATCACAAGATGATCGACTGTACTTCCATTTAATTCAGTGATTACGAAAAGAAAGATCACGCGATTAACGCCGGAATTTCATCCGGAATGCTCAGCCAAAGCTTTTCTCCTAAACCGGGCGGAAAAAATAGAGAACAGGGGGAGGAGGGGCTAGAACGACTTAAATGCACGCTTATAGGGCGCGTGCACACAACGAAACAACGGAACACACTCGCACGGATGTGTACATGTGCGAGAACGCGCGTGCACGCCCCTGATCCCGGCTTCCGTATCCATCTAACACGCACCATTGACCACGAATGCACGTCCGATAGGGCGGACCTTCTCAAAAAATCAAGTTATCTCCATTCTCCGCGCATCGTAGGGTTTCGAATAAAACGCCGCGCCGCGGGGTGGCCCCGTCGCCGTTTTCCAACCCAGCCAAGTATGTCGTACAAATTTATTGGAAATGCCGTGCACGAGGTGGTTACAGAGGATCGCCGTTGCGATCGTCGCGACATTCGACGAGACAGGGAATTTATAAGGAAGGGGGGAGAGAGAAAGTTAAAGTTTAAGATTTCCTTGCAAAAAGAATCCGTTTATACGGATCAAATTCCGTTTTAGATTTTAGCAAATCTAATGGAATTTAATGTAACGTAAATGAGAAGGTTTCGAGTAAATGTGAAGAAATTAGAGTAAACTTTTGTTTTGAAAAGAATTAAAATTAATATAGTCGAGCATAATTGATGAATTTTCAAATGAAAAAAATATTTTCTATTTTCATATTTATAAATATTAATAATTCATTCGTACAGGGAATTAATTAATTTCAATTGTATTTTTAAAAAATTTTTTTTAAAAACTTGATTTAAAAATGAAACCTCGTAATTTTAGAATCTTTCTGACATTATGAATTGTATTATAGATCATTCTTTATATGTGCATATTGATATCTTCGATATTTATAATTTTATAAATGTAAGAAGTGATCAAATACGAAAACTGAAAGAGAATCAGCACAAAGAAACAAAATTCTTTCTTTACGATTGAGAAATAATTCAATTCCTTTTTCCATTTCAAGAAAAAAAAACGATCCTATATAATAAATCAATATAAATGGAATGGAATAAATAACGTCTTACACAAATTTGGAAACAATTGTTAACGCTTAACGAATACAATATCAAAGATAAGTTTTCATTATTATACACTATCCAAATATATAGTATTTCTTATACGAATCTACTTATCCTCCCATAAAAGATTTCGTACAAATCTCTATACATAAAGAAAGTGCATAAAGAAAGAAAAGGAAAATATTCGAAAAATGTTCTTCACTCACTGTGAATCGACGACACCAAACGCTCAGCCATTTGATGTCCCGTATCCGTTTCCCATCAGGCAGCTTCAGAATGATGTCTGTGTAGTTGTACGATTGGAGCACCACCGGGTCCCTGTGCGGACAGAGTATAACAAGAAGAGGGAAAAAAAAAAAAAAAAAAAAAAAAAAAAAGAAAAAAGAAAAATAGGCTTGAAAAGTATAGGCGTGCACCATTGTGCTCGTAACTATTCTAATAATACCGCATTTCCCGCTGACCAGTTTTTCAACCTGGCTAGATCGATTTGGTCGGGGATACGCGTCGACGATTTTGGCAAACAACCATGTATCGATCGTATTCGAGCGTGGTGGAGACGCGGAGCGACGCTGGTGGGACAGGAACAAATACTTCTAATACCATCATCCTCCTCTAATAATCTTCGCCCAATTGGATCCCAGTTGGAACGAGACATCATTATTGTACTTAAAAAGACTCGCTTTTCAAGAGAAGGGGATGGAAGAAGAGGGACGAGAGAGAGTCTTAGACGCTGTTTTTACCGCGTCTTCCATCGAATTTCACTACGGTTGGAACAGAAAGAAAAAGAGAGAGAGAGAGAGAGAAAGAGTGGCGAGTCGAAACGTAATAAAGTGCTCGCGCGAACGAAATCCGAACGAGATCGCTGTATAATTCCCGTTTTATTAACTGCACCCCCGCAATCCCGTTCTCCCGTCCTTTCCTCTCTTTTCATCCCCCGTACTACCCTCTTCGGCCACCCTACCATCGACGCACACAACAAGCTCTTTGAGTTTCATTTCATCCCTTATGGTTATGCCGCTTACGTCCAACAGCCACCCCCACCTCTCTTCCTTCTTTCCCGTCCCCCTCGCCGTTTCCATCACGCGTCAACCCTGACCGCATACGCAACTCCATCGTTTCTTTTTTCTTTTTCTTTTTTTTCCATTTCTCGTTTTCGTTCTCATTTCGAGCAGGCCTCGAAAAGTGAGAAGAGAGGCGGCGAAATGGGAATTTCGAGAGGAGAGGTATAACGAGAGGAGACTGTAACGACGAGAGTATTGAGCTCTCGGGGTGGAAGAAGGTGAAAAGAATTTTCTTCCTACCTGATCTTTTCCATTTCCGGATACGGGACGATGTATCCCTGCGGCGTGGGCGTTGAAGTGTTCCCCACCCAGAAATACGCGTCCGGTCCGGTCCCATCGTAGCAGAATCCTTTTATGAATATCGTCGTGTCGTCCACTGCGTATACGTCCCCTTTGATTCCATGCGCGTAGTTTTTCAGTTTTCCGATAAATTTTCCGTAATAATTGGGTCCATTGTTGGCGTGACCTACGACAATATAGGCAATAATAAATCAACAATCAATTCAATAAAATATTAGAAATTAATTTTGACACTTCAAATTCTTTGCACTTCAACTATCAGGTATATATTAGCATTAGAGATCGTGGGTTAAGATATGTGAAGAAAAATATTCAAGTAGTAGTGGAAACTTTTGAGATTTTTTTTTTTTCATTGTGAAGATCTGCATGTTATGCAAAAAATAATTACAACATATGGGATATATTTTAGCAGAGAATGTATTCTGATTGGAAATTTTCGAATATCTGAGAATGGAGAATACTTTCATAATGCTTCTTATTTTTCAGAATAGAAAAAATATTAAAGATTGATCTTTTGTGATATAAAATAGTATAAAATATATAATAATGTGTGTAAATTATGTAATAATTTTTATCTTAAATTTTTAATCTTTGGAAATTAAACATTATAATAATATAGTGAACAATCAATTTATTTTTATCATTTGATCAAATATGTACGATTATATTGATTCTGTCAGTTACATAGATGAATGAATGGATAGATATTTGTAATGTAAATTTAAATTGACTATAAATAAAAAATAATATAAATAAATAACTCGCAGTTGAAAATCTATAATTGTCTTTTGTACATGACATCAGAGTTTATTTTTTTATGTCAAAATTATATGATAGATTGGATTAGAATTCGATTGATCGAAAAAATAAATCTTTACACGAGTTGCACCAAATATTGTATTTAAAAAATATATAATTCTACTTGAATAAATGAAGTTGACCTTCATACTTTCATTTAAGAGAGACACTTCATATATATCTCAAAATCGTTCAATTTTTATTTTAAATTTTTTAACCAATCTCCAATAATTTTAAATAATTTAATAAATCGATTTAAATTATCCTTTACAAGATTCTTACATATCTCAATCCATTACACGTAACAGATTTTCCTTTCAAATATTAATTATACACAATTTACAGAACAACAAATACTTTAAAACGTTCTCAAGCATTAAAAGCATTTTAACATAATTCTTACTTTTATCAAGCTATGCAATTCGGATATTTACAAACGTCGGGGATACGGATGAAATTGAGTCTAACCGAATGAGACCGTGAAAAGATGCGGTCGAGGCCTCGTTTGAGGCGTGCTACGCTCGCGGCTGGAAAAGGGGGAAGTACGGTTTCACCCTCGTGATATAGGTTGGACGCATCACCGCCCCGATACAAAAGCGCCGGTGGACCGGTCGGCTGCGCCGCGATTTGCATGAATTTCATTTCATTTGCTCGACAGGCCCCATAAAGTCGGACGAGCGGGTGGATCGGAAGAGAGGAGGCGGTAAAGATCATCGGGATGGTTTGTAACGGTGCGAGGGTTCAGACGCGGGGAATCGTCTTGAAACGCCCCCTACCCCTCCCCTGCCTTTAGATTAGCGGTTCCGTTTAACGGTGTGAAGCGTGGGATCGAGGGATTCCGCGAGATTGCTCGCGATGGATAAGATTTATTCCCCTCCCTCCCTCGTTTTTTTATTGCCATCCATCGAAGAATCGTATAATTCAATTTGCGCTCGCCGATTTTTCTTCATCGCGCGTTATTTGGTTATTTGTTCAAAATAATTTGTTTAAAATTGTTAACAGGATTTATAAATGTAAAAAAAAAAAAAAATGTGAAAAAGGAGGAGAATTTTTGACACTATTTTGTTTCATTAATAATTTATTAACATTTTTCATAATTTGCCTCGAAATCAAGAAAATTAAAATTATTGTTCCATAATAAAGTAATAAGTATAATTTTAAATCCTACATTCTTTGCAGTTTTTAATTTTCCAAAGTCGCGAAAAAATATCTTTGATTATAAGAAAGTTTATATGTGTGAATATACTTTTCGTTAAAAATTATACAGAAAATAGTTGATATTATTTTCATGTATTTGAAACATTAGTATTCCGTAGAATATCGACTAAAAAAAATACTGTATAAGAATCATCTTTATAAATATTAAATATAAATATATCTCGATTATATATATTTCGATTTCATAATTAATCAATTATGAACCAATTCATTATTATTAGCACATTGCTCACCATTTCTCAAATCATAAAATTAGATAATATTGGATTACAATTATATTAATAGAATTGTAAAAAGTGAAAATTTTTCAGTCACAAACTTTGATTCTTTCTCTTATATTGGTAAAATATGGCAAATGGAAGATAAAAGTGGAAAGGACCATCTTCGAAAGCAAAATACTTTCGATTCGAAGTCGAGGAATAGTCAATAGTTGACGTTCCTTCAGATTGTCTCTTCTTCTATACATACATATTTTTCTAGAGATCAAATGTTATTCCGAAAGATCGACGGTATGTATTCAACATGGCGGCTTTCGATATCGTTTTTTTTATGGTTATAAATTATTCGGTAAAATTGGCGGGATATTCAAAAGTGCTCCACATCATTTTTCATAAAATATTTTGTTTTTCATAAATATGTTTCATGATATTAATACATTTATGGAAAACGTTTAAAGGATTGATTCCAGAGAAACGAAACAAGCGCAAAAATTGATATACGAAAATATCGATTGAAAATCATTTATTAAATTATAAGCAATTGAAAATTTGCGTTAGACGAAGCGAGACGTGAATAGAGTATAATATCTATATTTAAATATTATTTTCAGATGAATATTTTAAATAATAAATATTATATAACTATTATTTATCAGCGATTCGTATATTAAATGTTATTTTCAACTTTTACAGCTCTACTTATTTGTCAATCTTACAAACAATACTCGAAAATCATCATAATTAATTTTGTATTACTATTATTCATATTTTTACGAGTATTATTAAATTCCAATAACAATAATACCATTTGCATTTTTTTCACATAGCTTTATATTGTTTTATTATTGCACGATTATATGAATTTCGCAACAAGAGTTGGAAAGTGGTTGATATTTTTTTTTTTCTCTTTTTTCGGCCGAAAAACTGATACTCTACAAATCTTTTTATTCCATGCGCGGCGAATGCACGAATTTCTCTTCAAATCTCGTCGCAATCGGCTTAATAGTTCGATCGGAATTTTGGATTTAGGGCATACTCACACACACACACACACACTCTTTTTCACCGTGTTTATTTTTTTAACAAATACATAAATCGCCAATCTCTCTGGGAGCGCCAACTACCGTCAAAACGTAGCAATAAACAATTTGACATTTTAAATAATCGAATTCAATCTGATGAAAAATAACTCGGATAATATTTAAAATTTATTATCGATATCACTTATTCCCGGATCCTCGATATTCGATCCAGCGAAACAACAGAAGGCAGAAAAATCTGAAATCGACTCGCCTTTTTAATCGAGAGAATAGAATCTCTCCTATTATATTCCGTCAAATCCATTCGATACGGCTAATATTATAAACGACTACATCCAAAGCCTTTATTTATTATCGTTACGCATCAATCTTCCTCCCATTGTGCAATAATAATTCGATATTAAACGTAATTTCTAATATTCATATTAGCACCGACGTTTCCAGATAAATTAAATATCGAACGTCGGGTAATGCAATAATAATATCTCGTAATTCGGTTAAATAATGGACCGATACCTCGATTAAATTCTACTTTCGTATATATATATACTCGTAATATAACCTTTCACAACTTCGTCTCCAATTAATTCTCATTGAACGTCCGACTTAACCGTCCGTAATTTTTGTACCGCGCGAAACACCACCACCGAGGATAATTAACACGTCGTTGGTGCGCCGGTGTTCAGAATCGAAATGCAGACTCGAGGCTTTTAGTCCACCCTCCCGGCTCCTCCACTCACTCCCCTCTCCCCCCTCCTCCTCCGTCCGCTCGTCGGTTGTATTGGTGAACGACGGCAGTTCCGTTCTTCCCGTATCGTCCCCCTCTCCTCCTCCTCCACGTCGTCGTCGTTGCCGTCTCCACACCCCATCGGTACAGCTGGATATTATGGTGATGCGACAATGAACGCGGTGATCGCTATCTGGCCGGTATTGGGGGGATGTCAACCCCTCAGGCTCGCAGCAATGCGTACGAAATCGGGCATGGAATGGTGTGGGCGGAAGGAGAAGGCAAAACGTGGGAACGTGTGATGCGAAAAGGAGGAAAGAACGAAAAGGAGTGGAGAGAACGAGAGCGAGAGAGAGAGAGAGAGAGGGAGAGATAGTGGAACATCTATTAGTAAACACAAGCGTACACTAGCACGTTCACGAGGGTAGAGAGGGTATGTGGGTGCGTGCCTACGCGCCACCTAAACTACCCCCGACTGGGTGCTTAAACTGCCTCCCCTTTTATTATGGGCCGCGACGGTTATTGGATTGTACCGTGCTATTTGTTGGCTGCCACGCTAATGGATCCATAATCACCGGGACAAATTAACGCAATACGACGACGACTCGCCAACTACGGGGTGCTACTTTAAACAACGGGTGGTAGAGTTGCTCCTTCCGCGTGACGATGACTTGGAGGATGTGGCTCTCCTCGATTTCAATGATATAGTGGATCATTTGAATAATCAAAATTTTTGAGAAAATTAAGAGAAAAAATCGTCTAGTTATATATTCATGAAATAGACACAGTAATTCCTATAAGTGATGGAGTATCAAAGAGTATATTGTTTTATGATAATTTTTATCTCAATCTATGTATGAATAAATCTATAAATTTCAAATTATACATGTAGTATTTATTGAACAAAGATTTAAAAAATGTAAATGAGTAAGTAAATATTGTATGAAATAATCCATGCATATGTTTATTTCAAAATTGGCAGGTTATGATTAATTTTAATATAATATAATATAATAGAAAATAGATTTAATGAAAAATTTTTTATCTTTGGAGAAAATTAAATGGTCTTTCCACAGCTTTATATAAACTCTATCTAAATTTTATTGAAAAGAAATGAGAGCTACATCTCTTCTAATCTCTTGTACTTCGACGTCCCTTAACTCCT